TCACGCTGGCTGCTGGCTACATACATTAGCCCATGGCAACCCACTGCCACAGGGGCTGCAGCCTACGCCGTCGCCGGCGACTCACAGCAGCCCAGCTCTAGTTTGAGCTGTTGTTCAGCATCTTAGCTGTGGAGGGCAGTGTCACTGGCCCTCATATGTGGGATCCGAACAGGGGCCCTCTGGCTTCTCAAGCCAGTTCTTAACCATTGCACCACTCGGCCGGCCCAGTAGTTGTTTTTATGGAGTCAAAAGTTATACATGGATATTCTACTGTGTGGCGATTGACACCCCTAACTCCTGAGTTGTTCAAGGTTCAACTGTATTATCAACTCAGATATTGAGTCAATATTGGTTCTAGGGGAAATCACTGTCCATAGTATTTAAAACACAAAAAATAGTGAATCATATAAAACATATGTTGAAATTATGAGACCAATATGTCACACAGACCAATAATCATCAAATAATCAAAACATATCAAGAAGTTGGGTATTTTTCCAGTTGCCTGTCATTGCTTCAATGCCCAGATGCACCATAATATATATTCATAAAATCAATTGATCTTCCATATTACATCCAGCATTTGAACATATGGCATATCATTTTGTAAGGGCATATCATCTTATAATGACAAAAAATGATGTAAATGCTTTTCTCTCTTGTAATGTTGAAATCACCAAATAATTAGTTGTCTTGCTCCCATTCTTGCTATCTACAATCTATCATCCACAAGAGAGCCAGATTTCTTTTTTAAACTTAAGTTATATTGTGTCATTCCTCAGCTTTCTAAAGAACTTCAACGTTTTCCCAACTTACTGAGTATACTTTTAATTTCTTACCACGGTCTATAATGTCCTAAATGATCTCTTTGGCTACAGTGGCTTCCTTTCTGTACCCTAAATATACCACTCTTTCTTACAAATTTATTGATTTTTTAAAAATTTAAATATTGTATGCCAATAATCACTAAGATAACACCTATGACAAAAGTAACAATAAATTTAAAAATTCTTGCATTTTCTTCCATTATTTAATCTACTTAGAATTAAAGAGAGACCTTTTAAAAAATATTTAAACATGAACTTTAACTCCCAGTTTAGAGATTAAATTCCAGTTGTTTAATAAGTCACATAATAAAGCAGGCCATCTATAAAGTTTTACTGAATGATTCAGTGAAAGGGTGTATTAATACACTTAATTAAAAAAAATCAAAACACCAAATTCCTATGGAAAACACTGTATGGAAATATATGTTAAAAATTACAGTTTTCAAGTTTTCACAAGTATATGGGAAGGAAACATTTCCTTTCCAAGCACTGCTACCATACCACCCTCGAACCCTATATACATCATTCAGGTATGGACTTATTTCTGGAGGGATTCACATTAGGCAAGTTTTGTATACATTTTCAGCATATCAATCCACTGAAGACTCGTGGAACTGTAGTCAATAGAAATTTCTACAACCATTTTAGCTGATCCATCATGTCTTTGTCAAGTGTTTGTTGACATTTGTGTCTAAATGTTCAGCATCCCTTCAAAATTCCTTTTGGTATCAACATTTTACATGTTCATTAGGGAATTTCCTTTCCCTACTTTAATCCTAGAGCCACTGTCAATCAAGGGGCCAGAGCTAATGGTAAATAGGTGGGCACATGATCCAAGCCAGGGCAATTAGAATATTCCTTGAGATGTTTCTGGTCGAAGTATGGGGCAAGAGTCTCTATTGTGGAAGATAAGCTGGTAGGACATAAGGGTGCTGTTTGCCATTACTGTAGTTCCACCTCATAGAGAAAGTAGGTGGATGGGATGGAGCCCTGATTAATACCTTTGCTCCTGATTCTAGCCATTCTTAAATCATCTCTGCCTCTGGCATTTCAGTAATATAAGCCCCAAATTTCCCTTTTGTGCTCGAACTGGTTTTGATTGGTTTTCTGTTACTTGCAACTAAAAGTGTTCGTGCAAATATAGCAGGGAACATGAAAGGCAATACAACACATACAATTTCTAAGTGGAGATTTTGGGGAATGTCTAAATTTACCAGAGACACAGTGGGAGAAAGTTTTTAGGTAGATAGGAGAGCACAGGCTTTTTGTGTTTCCAGTACTATTGGTTGTTAACTATTTTCATGCAAAAAGTATCTGGAGGAAGATGGAAATATGATGACAGGAAGCTATAAAAACAGAAGTAATTCAACTAAAACCCTGGCCTCTGTGTACGTCTTGCTTTCTGGCTTATTGCTTTGCCTTGACCCTCATTTGTGTTTCCTGATTGCTCATTCAGCGTCTGACAGTCTGACACACTGCTTCCCTGTACTCCCAAACACTCATATTCGTAACCCAATCTTCCAAATTTTGTTCTTGCCTTTGCTTCTGCCAGGTTGTTTTTGGCTGTGATCAATCTCTGACAAGCTCTGATCCCATTCTGCAGAATACTGGTGGCCTTAGGAGCCAGTCTTTCAGTCTGGCAAATTCCTCAGCCCTTTCTTTTTTCTACCAGGCTTTCTCTGCAATCCTATCAGGTCTTCCAACAGACCCTCTTGTATCTCCTTTCTTTTGAACAACTATTTTCTTTGATGGCTTGGAGAGATTTGTTTATTTTACAAATATTCATTGAGCACAAGGCATTAGGGAAATACAATAGAGGGAAAAGGTAGAAATTTTTTCCCTAACAAAACTTTAATTCTTGTTGAGGGAGAAAAACTATAAACAAAAAAAATATGTAAAATACATTTTTAAATGGTGATAAATGTAAAGGGAAGATGGAAGCAGGAGAGAGGTGCTGTGAGTTGCAGTTTAATTAAGAATCGGGTGCTTTCTGAGTATAGACCTGAGGATGGGACGAAGAAAGCAGTGTGGATATCTGAGAGAACTTGCCAGGCAGACAGTTCAGAAAATGTAAATCATTATTGAAAACAAGAGTTTGAGATTCATGTAAATGTTGCAGTGAGTTATTCAAATGATGTAAAATACCCCCTTCAAAAGAGGGGGAAAAAAAAAGTCAGTGAAAGTTGATGCCTTGGAAACTTGAAGTGTCAGGAAATACACAGAAATATGCAATTATTAAGAAAAATGTGATTTTTGGAGAAAATAGCCTATTCAATGTTTATATTCCCAAACTTTGGGATTCCTCAAGTGTTTAAGATGTATTAATCTCTTTATTCAACAAATATTCATTGATTACTGATCTAAGTATCAGACACCATGGGAAAAATGCAGATAAAGTCCTTCTCTCAAGGAGTTTACATTGTAGGAAAGGGCGG